GATTTATTGTAGAGATGAGGTCTCGCTGCCCAGGCGGGTCTCGAACCCGTGGGCTCAGGCAATCCACTCACACTCACCTCAGCCTCCCAAAGGCATGGGATTACAGGCTGAGCCACCGAGCCCAGCTAGAATTTTTTATTAATAAAAGGACTGCCTAGTCATGCATGCATTACATTGAGCACTGAATTAAAATAAGCCACAAATTCTACCCCAAGAGTGACTTAGAGTCACTTGACTTACCTCTGAGCGCAATTCCCTTTCCAGTAAAATCAGAATGCACCAAATATCACTAGTTCCCTATATTCAAAAATCATTTACTACCTTAGGTTTTTCTTTTTTAAGCGGGGGGAGATTGTCCTTTAAAATGAAAAATTAACACAGAACTTAGCATATTTTTAAATTAACACAGCAAGCAAGTGGCCTTCATTTGCTTGCTTAGTGCCAAAATAGTGCCAATCAAAGTAGTAATGCATAAAGATAAAGTGAGTAATGTAGCCAAGATCCCAAAATTTCTTAAAGTGCTTAGGACAGGAATAAACAAAGATCTATGATATCATATTCTATTTTAGGATCTATCTTCATTGTCTTTATGATTTGAAGTCATAGCAATAGTTGAGTATCATCTGATTAATTCTACTAACATTTGTTTACAAGTCAATTCACATTTTTAAAATTTTTATATGCAGCCCATTTCTAAGAATATTCCTATGTAGCTATTACTCTGCTTCCTCCTGTAAACTAATCGGTTCCAAGGATTTCTTTCTAAGATTCCAGGGAAAAAGAGGTTAAAAAAAATTAAGGAAAAGAACCCTGTATAAATGCCTAACACATAAGTCACACTCACCCACTTTGTGATCCTAAGTACCAGCAAAGACATGGCAATCTAAACACATAATGTCTTTATTTCTTCTAGAAGGCTTACTAACAAGGTTTTGTTCTTTCTTAAAATGATCTCTTCAAATTAACTGCTTTGACAGCGATATGCATACCTGTGTAAGAGGTTAACCTTATTAGCTTCCTAGAACTCTCCACTAACTTAAAAAATAAAAGATTTTAAATGGAAAATCCATTAAAGTAAAAAAGAGAAGTTGATTATTTCTTCGGTTATATAGTGGAGACCTCATTTGAATCCCTTTTCTTCAAGATGTTATTTAAAATACCAGAAATCTAAGTGGCTTGTGAGTAAAAAAAAAAAAAAAAGTTTGCGACTATTATCCATCTCTTCTAATCAACTATTACTGATTCATTACCTACTAACTAAATATAACATTCACATGGGACCAAGTTGAAGTTTCAAAAAAGTAAATCTCATCCCCGTACCTTTCCCCAGTTCCATCCCCCTGAGAAGTGACCAGTTAAAGTCTAGCATAAACTTCTAAGATATTCAAAGCATGTATAGTTTTATAAACTCAAAAGAATTCTTTCCCATTTGTTTAGATACCGTAAAATTCAGTGCTGAAATGAATTTGCTACTAAAAAGAGGGAAGAAGGCAGCAGTAACAAGGCGGTTGAAAGATCACAAACAAAATTTTGCCTTGAGGCAAAATCTGAAAAGCCATGCCTCACAGCCACAGGCCTCCACAGGTACTGTAAGTGCAAGAAGGAGGCAGGCTTGAGGGAAGCTTCAGAAGGGAGAAAAGTGTGTGATTTAAGGAGGCCATTACTAACGGCATTACAGTTTTTAAAGTGACTTTAGCTTGCCGCGTCTCTATTATTTCCATTTAATGAACAAAATGTAAACTTAAAGAAAAAACTAATAAGGATCTTCTCAACAGAATTCAAGTGTTTACTTTGGATGAGGAAAAGCTGGAACACAAATGAGCAACTAAGTGCCACAATAAACTAAACAGTCATCTAAAGGGAAAAATTGCTTTTATAATAATCCATTACTATTGTCAATTATTGAATGTGTAATACGCGATCTCAAGTTTTTGTGCTGCCGTAAGTCCTATAGGAAAGCTTTTTAAATGCCAGTTTCTAATCATCTTTAAGATAACTGGCACTTCTAATGAACAAAGGCATATCATTCTGAGGGTCAAAGAGGGTCAACTGTGTGGACAAATACTTAATGGCTAATACCTCCGATGTGATAATGTCTGCGGATATTCCAATATTAACTCCATCATCTCAACAACAACAAAACTATTAAATGAGGTTTTATCTTGTTTATTAAACAGTCAGACTGTAGTTTAGTGTGGTGTCTCCTAGAAGGACTTTCGGACTGGAGTCCTTTTTCTCTTAACCATATGGTAAATAAGCAGGGAACTACCACCTCAGTTCAGCACCCCGGAAAAGCTTCAACTTTGTAGCGAGGACACAAAAACCCTAAACTTTTAGCCAATTGCAACCTGAGCTTCCCCCCAACCTGCCCACCCGGGGCTCACTGCAGAAAATCGACAGAATGCAGCACAAAGGAGAACGCGTTTTCCTCTCCGGGGACTAAGGAGGTCGCCTCGGTTGGTCGCAGTGCGGGTGGGGACTGGGGGCTTCTGCAGGTGCCAGCTAGGGGTAGGAGCAAAGTCCAGGGTGGGGCAGTGGCCCCCAAGCCTCCGACGCCTCGGTCTGGCCAGTGGGCACGCGGGACACTCGGGAAGACGGCGGGATGGGAAGTCACCAAGGCGCCTCTGCGTCACCCCGGGCCCGTCGCACAAGGCCCAGGCCGCGTGACGCAAGAGCCGGTCCAAACCCGCCGGACGTTTGGCATTTTCGGGAGCTCCACATTGGAGCCGGGGGGTCAAGGGTGGCCAGGGGCAGCACGGACGCGACTCCGAACTCTGCCCCACTCTTGGCCACGGAGAGGTCGCGACAGCCTCTCAAAGCAGCCCCTCTCCCGCCTAGCTCCCGACCACCCCCAATCCCGACACATTCTCAGGCCCAAGAACCCATGCCTCCCCGCCCCTACGGCCGGTGACAAGAGTCCGGTTCGCAAGCCAGATCCAGATCGCGCGAGCACGGCGCCCGGGGCACGCTGGGAATTGTTGTTCAATAGGCCACCACGCACCCCGGGGAGGCAAGCGTGTGCCGGAGAGAAAGAACTACAACTCCCACAGTGCCCGGGGCTGGGAGACTCGCCAGCCCGGCCGGCAACCCGGACGCCGGTGGCGGGGATACCCCTTACCTGCTGTCGCCGCCGTCGCTGCAGCTGCCCCTGAGCCGCCGCCGCCACCACTGCCACCGCGGTGGGGAGTGTTCCGCTTCTTATTCTTCGGCATCGTGGGACGCCCGGTGCCGCCTAAGATCGGAGCTTAGCGAGGATCAGCCGATGGAGCTGCACTTTTTACTCGTGCGTCTGTGCGGCGGGCGGCTGAGAGGCGAGTCTTCGGCTAACAACAGGGGCGAGAAGCGGCGGGGGTAAGAGCGGGCGGTGGCGGCAGCAGAAATCCCCGTGAAGAGCTGTGATCGGAAACGATACATGTTTCTCTCTAGCGCGGGAGCTAAGGCGGGGCGGTCGAGGCCACGACGCCTTAAGTAGCTGGACCGCCGCCTGGCGTCATCCTCTGTGGGCGGGGCTTAAACTCGCCCTAGCCAATCCCTGCAGATCGCCCCACCAGAGTCCACTTCGCGCGGTGCGCGGATGCTGACTACAAATCCCATGCCGCAAATCTTCCGTCGGCGCCCAGAGAGCCAGTCTTCTGGCTACACTGACTTCTGGGAAATGTAGTAAGCCCAGGGCCTGGCCGCCTCACTGTCCTTCCCCCTCCTCCCAGCTCCTCCCAGCTCCTCCCAGCTCCTCCCAGCTCCTCCCAACGGGCTTTTCTGCCCACTTGCTTCCCTGCTCGTGACCCCGCCCCTGCCTTGGCTCGGCCCCCGCCTTGGAATCGAGTGAGGTAGCCACCGGTGATGAGCCATGGGACGGGTATGCCAGATGACGAGAGCCAGCTTCCAACTGGAACTACGCAATCACCTTTGCTCCTCTTTGTCCCGCGGCTCGTGTTCTTTTTAACCTTTTCCCTGTTTCCCTGCTGCCCCTGCCAGGCAGAGTCTTACGCCTTCTTGAGAACATTGTGGTTTTGGTGGTTGAATTAGTTTAGCGATCAATACTATAATTGAACCGTGGTTCAGGGTGATGTACCTCCCCCTCGACCCCCGAAAAAGGCAGGCTTTCATCCACTTAGTTGTGTAGTTCATGTATATCTCATATTCTAGACTAGGGATGTATGGCGATTCAGTGTCATGGGTTTCTATATATACAGGAATGTGTCCTTTGACAATACTACCTGCCAGTTAGAAGGTCAGTTTGGGATAAGAGTTTCTGAGAACTTAACAGCTGGTAAAACAAACGTGAGTTATAAATACCAATAATTGCAGTGGTTTGTGTTTGGTTTTGTTTTTCTCAAGGCACATCTAGATCTCTGTCTTCCGTGTTAGAACATTTGTCACGTATTTAGGGCCTTTTATGAGGTCTATATACTATGCTTATGACGGACCCAACTCCCTGACTCGCCTGCATATAAGTGACTCATCCACCACTCCACCCCTCAGCTGAGCTCCATTCTTTTATTTTCAATCACCCACAGCACATTTCCACCAGAATGTCCCACTTGGATCTCAACCCAACATCCAGCCCAGGAGGTTGAGGCAGCGATGAGCCTTGATCATGCCACTGCACTGCAGCACGGGTACAGTATGAACCTATCCCTCCAAAGGAAACTAAATAAATAGATACTATGTTTCCTGTCTTCCCTTGGTATGTTCACTGTACTCCCCCCACCCCAAGGAAACTAAATAAATAAATACTATGTTTCCTGTCTTCCCTTGGTATGTTCATAGTACTTTTATCCTCCCATATGTTTGGATTCCAAAACTCAAATTCATACGTGATTCCTTTCTCTGGTGCTCCCTTCCTCCCAAAGCAATTAATTTTAAAATAATACTCTTAAATCCATGGCCTATCCTCCAATCACACATGAGCTTAGTTCATGTCTGGGCATTTTAAGGGATCTCCCAGTCTTTTCATCCGTGCTTCATACACAGTAATGCTGCCAGATTTATTTGTATATCCCCTATTTTACTAATCCACCTGCATTAATAGTTGCTCAAAAACCTTTCACGACTCCCACTGCTAACATATTAAATGGCAACCCTGACTTCCTTCACTGCTTTCCCATACATGCTGTGTTCTTCAGCCAAACTGGACTGCTTTTCATTTCCAGTACACAGCTCTGTTCTCCTATCTCCATTTCATCATTCGTATTGTTTCACATTCTTATAATGTCCTTCCTCCCATCTTCACTTTAAGAAATTCTATCCATCTTTCAAGATCAAGCTCAAACGCTGCCACCTTCCTGATCCTCCAGCCAAAATTAGTTCTTCCTGCTGACAACCCTTTAACTCTTACCCTATGCCCTAATGGCACGTATTACCTCCCCACACAACCTAGTCAAAGATACTATATTTAAAGGGCAACATTTCAGGATTGCTTTTATCTTGTTTAATCCTGAAGCAGCAAATAAATTGCATAGAGCACAGAAAGCAGATAAGGATGCAGGTTGGTGGAAACAGCTTGCATTGACTCCCTTGTATCTGGTAGAAGCACACCTGCAATGCAGCGAGCAGGCCCACGGGGAGTAAGATGTCTCATAGAACTGTAGGTTCCATATGTTTTATAACCTCAGGCTCTTCAACACCCAGAAACAATTTATATTATACAATATAATTTGTATAATTATTCAATCATACAATAATTTTGCTACTCTGGGAGTCACATCACCTAGGCCTAAAGTCCAGGTGCCAGGCTTTTAACCATGTTCCTTGCCTGCATTTGGGGCCAGCATTTTTTTTTTTCTGTGCCCATTCATATCCACTTAGAAGTTTTTCTTGAGCAGGCCTGGCCATGGCCCATGACATCATATACATACTTGTTTTACATTTATTTGTGAACTCATCTATCATCTCATGAAATTGTCAGCTTCCCAATAACAAAAACCTTGTTTTTATCATTTCTGTATTCCTCATAGCACATAAAATAGTGTTACATTTGTAATTATAGATAACCAGTAAATATTAAATGAACATTTAAGAAATAATTGGATTTTTTTGTATCAAGGAAAGGGAGAAAATCATATCATTACATACATAATGTGTAACTTTTTAACTTGCTTTTTTTTTTTTTTTGGAGTTGGAGTCTCACTCTATCGCCCAGGCTGGAATGCAGTGACACGTTTACAGTCACTGCAGCCTCAACCTGCTGGGCTCAGGTGATCCTTCCACCTCAGCCTTCCAAGTAGCTGGAACTACAGGCACACACCACCACGTCTGGCTAATTTTTTTATTTATTATAGAGGTGAGGTCTCGTCAAGTTGCCCAGGCTGATCTCAAACCTGTGGGCTCAGGCAATCCTCTTGCCTCGGCCTCCCAAAGTGCTGGGTATAGGTGTGAGCCACCATGCCTGGCCTTATAACTTTCATTATAATGAATTCTGAGAGATCCAGTACTTTTGATAAAACCACCTTAGTCTATTTTTATATCTACAGTTTAGTTCCATATCAATACAAGTATCAAAAAAACTTAGCAAACCCATCATGAGACAGTGACCTTCAAATCCACATATTGCTTTGCAGCTTGTTTAGAGAAATTAGAAGACTCCAAACATTGAGTCACCAAATAATTACAAACATCGGCAAGGAAGGGGAGGCATGAAGGGGAAACAAGAAAAGAGAATTTCTCCTGTCAGATTTTGCCTTTTTATTCAGGAAAGACCACCTACATGACTTCTGCCTACATGATTAGAACTGTGTCACATGATGGTCCCTACCTGCAAGGAAGTGTAGAAGGCAAGTATTTTTACTTGGGCTCATTGGCAAACAAACTTGAGGGTTTGTTGAAAAGAATGGAGGGAAAATTGTGAATATAAGGCAGGCAACTAGTGAAGTCTGCCTCATGCACCATGAGATAAAATTCTCTCATGCTCTAGTAAATAAATATCCCATATTTGTTACCAACTTGACCTTATTGCAGTCTCTTAGCTTCTAGTTATAGTAAGATGTATTCTCCTCTTATAAAACACAACTAAGCTTAACATTCTATTGAATATAAATCACCATCATGGTTATGTATGTGAAAATGTTGCAAAAGTAACATTAATTTTACATTAATCAGAACTTGGGGGCACACCTGAGAAAACTTCCAAGTTCTCATGGGGTCTAAGTATTAATGACTTTTATTCAAAAACAAGTAACATATATAAGACTCAGCATTCAAACCTTCCTTGAAGCCATAAACATGAAAGGTTTTTTTTGTTGTTTTTTTTTTTGAGTGACTTGAGTCATGGCTTCCTTGGGATTCTTTGCATAGCCTTAAGCAGAAGTCATGTCTCCTGGATCCTCCATATAGGACTTGTCAGGATCTGGGTCTTCCCTGTATCTCCCAAATCACCTCTGTCATCACCTGACACAGTCTCTTCCTGTCTACCATGTGGAACTCCTAGCATGTCTCTAAGCTCACGAGGCTGAAGCTTCTGGCCTCACGTAGGCTGGTACCTGCCTCCCTCCACATCTCATCTCCTTCCCCTCTTCTCACCTACTACACTTCAGCCACACTGGTCTTCTTTGCCAACTCAAAACACAAGGTTCATTCCCCCTTTAAGACTTTTGGCAACAGCTCCTCCCTCTGCCTGATAGGACCCTTTAAAGCATCCCACAATTGCCATTCACTTCTCAGCTCATGACGCCTCAGTGGAGAGTCCTTTCCCACTCTCCATTCTAACGTAATGTCTTCACCCCACCTACCACCGCCCCTGGCTATCTTATTTTCCCAAAGTTTATCTCAGTACTTAATATTTTTCTAGTTCCATTATTTTGTGTCTCTCCTACTAGAATGTTAAAATTATAAGAAAAGAGATTATTCACTATTGCATCTTCAGTACTGGAACAGCATATGACTCTTAGACATTCAATTAATATTTACTGAATGAATAAGTGTATTAATAATTAAATGCCGCTCCTCTGCTTACAACATCTTTCCCCACAATCTCCTTCCCATCCTTTGAGTCACTGATCCTGGACCATCCCCCTCCACAACTTCTCTTACTTAAATATATCTCTCTCTGTGTTCTTATTTTGCCTTCCTTAGGGTAGCATTAGCTGTATGTATTGTAATTCTTGGTTACTAGTCTTTCTCCCCAGATACAAGCTCCATGTTGGTAGGCAAAGTCCAATTATGTCACTTCTGAAACACACACCAGGTTTTTCCAAACACTTGTGGTACCTTTGTGCAAATTAGAAAAAGAAGATCCCAGGGGTGCAGGGGTGGAGGCGTGGGTGGGGGGGCATAACACACAAAGTGTACCTGTGTCCCTGGTCCTAAACCAAGGAAAGTGAAACCCAGTTGGAGGCCTGAATTTCACCTGTGCATACATTACTTATATACCTAATCCTGACTTTTACCCCACATCTCTATAATAAAAAGAAAATAAAAGAAGAAGACCACCAGTTTGATGAGTGCTAACAGGCTGGAATTCAGATGTCAATCTCCC